GCAGCTGTTGAGTTGGAACCCCTGGCCTTGTAACTCAAACCAACCTTGCGGTCCAGTGCTTAACCTGCAGCGCCAGGCAAGCCTTATCCTCTTCTCTTGCATATGGGTGGGTTTGTTTTGAGTTTGATGTGTTGTTCCTTCTTAAATCTAATGGCTTTGGGGTTATTTTAATACACATTGAAGAAATCGTTCATTATCAATAGCTTCTAGTATTAGCCCAAAGTCTACAAGTAGCCTTCTCCTCCCGTGTTTTCCCATTTTCTCAAATTCATTCGGTTCCCTGAGTCCATACCCTGCGGCCCAAACTCCTAGGCCTCATTGTGAGAAAGTAAACCTTTCGGTAGCCCTCTCTGGCCTGGGGTTTCAGGACCTGGGTGTTTGTCACAGTATCTTTCTTTTCTGTAGTTGGTTGAGGTTCACCCCCCAATGTCAGCCAGAATAGGTGATGGTCAGTTTGCTGGGCAAGTGTCTGGGGCCTTGCCTGGGCTGAAACCAGAGGAGGGGGGAGTCGTGCGCACCAGATGTTTTCATGCACGTTCCCAGCCCACCCTCACAGTCAGTCACATTAGGACATAAGTAACAGCATCCCTGAGCTACCAAGGATCCTGAGTCTTCTGAACAGATTATTCAGGACCATCCTGCTAGCCAGTTCTGGAACGTCCTCCTTCCCCAATACCGCCCATCTCAGCCATGGTAAACAATGGAGCACAGCCCCCATCCATGTTCACATGTGTACTGTTTAGAGAAACTAAAGGGAAACCCATCCAGTGGATTCCAACGCCCGCAATCCTATAGGACAAAGTACCACTGCTCCGTAGGATTTCTGAGACTGCAAATCTTCACACGAGCCGACAGCCTCAACTTGCTCTTGCATAGAGCAATTGGTGGGTTTGAACTGCCTCCATTGCAGTTTACAATCCCATGCTTAACCAACTGCACCACCAGGCTTCTTGTTTGAGGGAGGGCTAAATGTAATCTCGGCTTCAAAAGACGATAGAAACCACTTGTCACGTGAGTGAGCTGTGATTCGCTGTGACCCCACGTGTGTCCCAATAGACTTCTGCATGGGGGTGGGGTTTCTTGTAGGTTTGGTTGGCTTTGGGTATTGTTTTCACAATATTTTTATTAGATGATTTTTGTTGGAAGTAAATCACCAGGCCTTCCTTCCACGTGCCCATGTCCCTGGGTGAACTTGAACCTCCCACTTTGCCGTTAATAACAGAGTGTTTTACCCATCTACTCTAACTAGGGACACCCAGTAGGTTACAGCAGTGACAAATTCAGTGGCAGAAGTTCAGGCCCTACCCATGGGGCCACCAGGGAGCCTCACCTTGGAATGACCATTTGCTGACATTATCTGCGTAGCCCCAGCCAAGCCCAAGCCCCCCTGCATGTTGAGTAGGACCCATCTCTGTCATCCTTAAGGACTTTTAAGTTTATTAAGTTCTCACTAAGAAGACTCCCTGGGAAGAAAATGTCAAGTTTCATAGATTCTTTTTTCCAAAGATGTAGTTTGGAGGTGGGGAAGGTTGAGCTGTCTGTCACTGTGTTAAGCCCCTACCCCAAGGCCAGAGTGTTTGCTGTCTTAGCGGCTGCAGGAGTCCCCATTTTAACATGGAACATGGGATGTACATTTTGGGGGAGACTGCCAGGACACCCTGAAAAGCCAAGTCACTCAGGATTGACAAAAGGCTTGTTTTTCCAAATGATGGAACACGTGCAATTTGTGTACACTGGTTGCTGATCTTACCTTTGATTGCGTGATCGAAATTCTACTTACCCATTTTTCAGGAGCCATCTAATTATAAAAATTAAAATTCAAAGGAAAGCAAAAGGAATGATTACGCCTCACTTGGGGAATTGGGGGAAGGAGGCAGGAGACCCGGCTTTCCTCAGATGATAATGCCGCTGTTTGTCATCTCCCAGGCCCGTCACAAATATTAACTCATTCATTCGTGCACTCTGTATGAGGCGATTCAGTGTGGAACGGGTTTCCTGGCCAAAGTTGAGGGGTTACTAGACTGAAGATTGGGAATCTGAGCTCAGGACCGAGCAAACAGAAAATGACCATCCAGGAGCAGTTGGGCCACCTCAGTGGACAGTGTCTCTGGTACCAAGCTCTTGCCCCACCCTGTGCCTGCTACTCCCATCTCCAGTCCAGGGATAACCATCTTCTCTAATAGTTGTCTTGTAAGAACGTCTAGCAAAAGCGAAATCAGACTTTGGATTATATTGTGTCTCAAAACAAAACATACTGAATCGTGACCTCTGTAACTTGTGAAGTCACCATGAGTCCATTCTAAGTCAGGGTGACCCGTATGTCTCAGAGTAGAACAGAACTCTGGTGTTTTCAGTGACTGAGACCTAAGCAGGTCACTTAAGTCCTTCTCTGGGTAGATTCAAACCAACCTGCTCTTAGAGGCTGTGAGTTCTGACCTAGAGCGCCCCCGTGTGTAACAGAAGGAAACATTGCCTGGTCTGCGCAGCCTCACTGTTGCTAATGAGGGTCAAGTTCTTCTTCTCTCAATACCTACATAACTAAGCCTGGTGTCCTTCCCCAGGGACTGGAGACCTTTAGGTTAGATGTCAATAGAGCAGACCTTTGCAGGGTGGGTCCTATACCTAATCACTCCTGGATTATCACTCTTTTTTTTTTTTTTTAAGGACTGATACAGACACATACCTTGGATGATACCAAGGAATGCCGGAAGCTAGGAAAGAGGTCCTAGGTGGTGTGGGCACAGCTGAGTCCCTGGTTTGGTTTTGTGGCCTCCAGAGCTGTGAGAAAATCAATTTCTAGTCTTTAAAGCTACCCTTACGTATGGAGTCCTGGTGTGGCGCTGTGGGTTAATGCGCTGGACGACTGCAAAGTCGGTTTGAACTGCAAGGTTGGCAGTTCAAGCTCACCAGCTGCTCCCTGGAAGCCCTATGCAGGGTCGCTGTGGGTCAGATCCAACTCAACAGCACTACAACAACGAAATTATATAGGAATCCTGGTCTGCAAAGTCAATTTCAACTGCAAGGTCGCTGATTTAAGCTCACCAGTTGTTCCTTGGAAACCCTAAACAGGGTCGCTATGAGTCAGAACTGACTCGACAGCATTTAACAACAAATGAAACTATAACACAGGGTTTTAAAAAAGTGTCCACTCCATCTCCATATACTCGGATATGCCAGGTTGTAACTTGTTTTAGGGCAACCTCCATCTGTCTATCCTGAACAGATGCGTGGTAATTTCAGGTTTGAGAGAAATCCCCAGCACTGGAAAGAGTTTGGTATCTCCTGGCATGTGCAGAATTGTTTTCAGTTCCAAATCATAGCAATACTGCAGACCACAGAACAAACTGCCCGTCCTGTGCCATCCCCACTGTTGCTGTGTGTACTCATTGTGCCAGCCCATCTCATTAAGAGTCTTCCTTCTTCCTCAGTGAGACTTGAAACTATGCTTTTCCTAGCATAGTTTCATAAATCTTTGAAGTACTTTTTTGGTGGATTTCTGGGAAATTTGCCATTATCTACCAGGAAGTTGCCTACTTTGTAATGTAGGTATGTTGTACTTGCAGTGACCTTGGATGAAGTTGTTGTTAAGTGTGGTCATCGAGTCGGTTCTGATCCATAGCAACCCTGTATAGGGTTTCTAAAGAGTAGCTGGTGAGCTTGAACTGCCGACCTTACAGTTCAAACGGCTTTGCAGTCTGGCACATTAACCCACAGTGCCATACCAGGACTACTGGATGAGGCAGTGTTGTGCATAATTGGTGTTCTCAGGTAATTCCTCACCCTGGGATGGACATGCTTCACCCTAGACCCTCACTTTGTCTTCAACTTCTCCTTATTTGCTCAATTATAAAGGACAACTTTTTTCGATTTTTGTTTTGTACGGAGCTGGTTTGATTTTTGCTGGTTGAATTTTCACAAAGAAACACATAAACCATAGAATGGGAATGACCTCTTTAAAATCCTAGTTTGAATTCTTGACGCTTTCCTGGTGTGGCACTGTAGGATAAGAACTTGGCTGAAAGGTCAGTTTGAACTGCAAGGTTGGCAGTTCAAACCCTTCAGCCGGCCCTTGGAAACCCTATACAGGGTCGCTGTGAGTCGGAACTGACTTGATGGCACTGCACAGTTTTTAATTTGAAGAATGAAATTCCAACGCAATGGGTCAGAAGCTGGGTTCATGGGATTAAGCTGTTGGTTGCTAACCTAAGCTGGTACTTTGGTGACCAGATGTGGAAATGACTCAGCTCACCATTCCTCTAGCAGGCTTTGGGATCTCCTCCTGCGATGCCTGTGTGCCCTGGCTCACATGGGAGACCCTTCCCTGTTTTATCCCCCTGCCTCCGACACCCTGGACACGTGTCCAGAGACTCAGAGCAGGCTTGCCATTGTCTGTCTAAGCCAGCCTTCTCCTCCAGGCCCAGTGTTGGGGCTACCTTCTGGGCTACCACCATTACCAGACCATCACCCTTGCCCCCATATGCAAGGGGAGGAGGGTCTGTGACTCCTGCGGTCTGGCTGTGGGACCAAGGGGAGAGGGGCAGCCTCTGTTGTGCTTAATGGTGGCTTTGACTCCTGACCCCTGGGGGTCTTGCCAAGTGTCTAGTGTGGCAGGGCTGGGTGGCACTTTACCTTGTGGGTCCCTCAGAGAAAAAACACCATGCTCCTCCGAGCAGGGCTATGTCCACGCACGGAACAAAGGCGCAGCCACATACCCCTGACCTCAGAGTTCAGATTCTTACCATCCATGTTGGTCACCAGTCAGTACTGACCACCCACGCTTATGGTTTCCTAGTCCGAAGTGGTCTTGAGTGAGTTCGCCTGTCTCTCTTGCCACATAGAAGGCAGGAGATGGCTAAAACCGACATGTATCTGCGACTACCACGTGCGCATGACAGAAGTGAGCAGACACCTTGTAGAGGGCAACTGGACAGTCCGGAGCCACGAGTGTCCTCTGTCCCCAGGATTGCCAGAGAGTAAGGATTCTTTTCTCCTTGTTTCAGGGTTCATAGTGGCGTAATGCACGCAGACTCCTGCGAGGTCCCCTAAGTTCTTAGAGGACGGTTTTGCCTTTTGAATCAGAGAGTTGCAAAGTTCGCTAAAGAATGGCCCTTGTGGATAAGCACAAAGTCAAGCGACAGCGATTGGACAGAATTTGTGAAGGTAAGAGCCAGCGTGATTGGCGGTTTTTCGTGGCAGAGACGCAGCCCCAGACCTAACGACCTGCTGTGTATACCGAGGCCTCCCCTCCTCCTGCCACATCTCCAGGTGTCCTTGGTCAGTAGGCCTGACTGGTCAGCACATGGGGCGGGGTTAAGACAAGATTCGGGAAGGGGAGGGACATCTTTTCTTCCCCCTCCTTCCATATACTCTGCATGTGTAGGACACATCAGTACGGATTCTTGTCACTTCCGGAAACCTCCAGACTTTCTGTGTCAAGCTAGTTACAAATATTCCAAGTTCTTCCAGAAGAGCCCGGAACTGCCCCTTGTGATGTGTACACATCCCTGGTATCTTTGCATGGAAACGTCTGGAAGTGTTTTATTCATGAGCAGAAAAATAAATGTAATTAAAATCTATTGGAAACCTGGGGGCAAAACTGAAATATTGATTAAGCACCATCCTCGCCTAATTAGCAAGCCATAAGAAACCCAATGCTGCTGGTTCTGCCTTGGGTTTGGGTTTAGTGCTCCTTGTGGGGGGCGGCGGACCGGGCAGCCTTCTCCTAACCCTACCCAGTGCTCAGACACTGCCTCATGGACCCCACATGACTTTCCCCAGCTATTCCTACAGAACTGCTTGTCCCTTAAGGAAATGGGGTTCCAGCTGCATGCAGTGGGGCACCAAAGACTCTGCTGGAGTATGTGCATGCTTGTCAGAGGTTTTGCTGACCTGTGGATTATAGGAGTGTCCAGGCTAGCTCTACTGTAGTGGAGGAATTTTGACTAGATTTAAGGACCTTTCGAATGTCTTCCAACCTGCCTGAAATGCTGAAAGAAGAATACAGTGAACAACCATATACCTCTGTACTGTATTTACCGATGGGTAACAATTGGCTGCTGTCAGTTTTTACAGATGTAGGTGTATACCTGTGTGTGTGGTGTGTTCATGGTGTGTGGGTGAGTGGATGGGTTCTTTGCAAAGGTATCTGGAAGTTGTCTCTGAAGTTGTTGCATTGCGTATGGTATGAATCTCAAACTAGGACATTCTCTTACTAACCCCACTATTGCACTAACCTCAAACAAATTTAAGGTCACTACATGATTATCCAGGGTCCTAGTGTGGTGCTGTGGGTTAATGCGTTGGACTGCAAGGTTGGTGGTTCAAGCTCACCAGTTGCTCCTCGGAAACCCTATACAAGGTCGTTACGGGTCAGGACCCACTTGACGGCACTTAACAACACAATTATCCATCTTAGGTGTCATTGCCACCCTTTCTCTGTGTGTCCCTTGTATGCTGTTCAAGGTTTCATGCCTCTCGTTTGGGCAGGAACTAAACAAATTGGCCGTTGGTGGCACACGGTTACCCTATATCTTTGGGTAAGACAAAGCTCCTTACCGCTTGGTTGCAGGATGCCCCACATTTCTGGTTTCATCTGAGTGTATGGGCATTCCTTCTATTGCTGATAGGCTTCGTGAGAGGGCTGAGTCCTGCTTCCCAGGAGCCCTAGTGGGCCAGCTGTCCAGAGGTCCACTCTCTGGGACTCTTCAGGGCTGATCCCACCCATCCCCCCATCCAGTTGCTCCTAGGTCTCCATATCAAATGAGAATGGATTTGATGAGCTGGTCTTTACTTCCTCCTCTAATCTGCCGCATACCCAACTTCATGCTCATGGACGAGAGTTTGTTTGTTAGGGCAAAACTGTTGGCGATGCTCTTACCTGTCAAGTCGGGTTCCACCACTTACACTCACTATAGGGACACTTCACTGAGCTGGTATCCACAAGGTCAGCAGCTGTCATTGGTAAATGCCATCAAGTCAGGTTAGATTCATAGTGACCCTGTGTAGGGTTTCTGAGGACTCGAGGGCACTTGACAATAGCTGCAACAACATGTGTCTTGAAGCCAGTATTTCATCACAGAAACTTCAGTGTCTCCATTACTGATGTGTACAAGGCTTCCCCAAACTGGTGCCATTTTATTTTGTAATTTCTCAATAGACAAGCCTAAATTAAGCTGCAACTTGTTCTCTCTGATCTTGAGTATTGATTGGTTTTGGGGGCACAGGGAGGGGAGGTCGTGGTTGCTGTGAGTACAGTGGTTGTCGATTTGGGCCTGAGCCAGATTCTGTCTTCAGCGTGACCCTTGCTTCTGGTCCACTCCTGCCTTTTCCCAGTGAAGTATCACATCTTGAGGCTTTATTGTCTCTGTTCTCACTTGTCCTCCAGATTGTTCGGCTTGGACATCCACAGTCCATCAGCCCCTCGCCCTGCTCCCAGGCCTGCCTGGTTCCCCACTGTGTTGGCTATTGGGGTGAAACTCAGACAGCTAGCCTTGGAGGAGCTTCCTCTTGTTTGGAACTCTGGGAAGGAACACTTCTTGATGTCCATCCCAAAACCTTTGGGTGGGGACTCCCATGCTGGACCCACATGTCCCTTCTGAAGAGTCAGAGTTCCACTTGGCATCCCTCTCTGGCTGATACCCAACCCTGGGGTGTTGTTTTGGAAGAACGTTTACAGTACAGTGTCTGAAACAGATTGTGGAGTCTTCTCTTTGGTGTATAATTTAGGTCTTGCCTTCTCTCCATTGTCTCACTGGCTGATGGCACTGAAGTGTATTGCATTTGTGAATTGCTCTAGAATCAGAGTTTTGATCTCTTAGGGGCATCATGCCAGACCTAGTTCGATTGGCCCAAAGTCTTTGGCCATAGACTGAAATCATTCAGCTTTGTCAAAGTAAGCCTCATCCAGCCAGCACTTAAACAACATTAAACCTTTCTCTGCTACGTGCTCATGAGGACAGAGAATAAAAAAGGGGGACAGAGATGGGTTTGGATGAGTGTGGGCACAAGAGGAATACAGAAGGGACTTGTGACCAGCTGTGTGTGAGAAACAAATCCTTGTCAATTTCAGGTGCCTCCTTTTGCGCCCGCTTGATCACAGAGGAAAGAATGTTGTACTTTGATGAAAAGTGTTCTGCTTTTCTGAATCAGAGATCCCCATTGGAACGATCCCCCCAAGAAAGTTCATCACAGTCTCAGCATAGCAGATCAGTACAGGCCGCCTCCGTGGGGACCCAGGTTGACAGAAGTGTTGGCCGTGGAGGAGCCCACGCTCCCGTCTGGTCTGGGCAAGCTTGTTTCCCCTGATGTTCTGCTGTCTAGTGTCCATTGGAGCCCAGAGAGGGAAAACTGCCCTTTTCTGTGCCCAAAATGAACAACCGACTCTGCAGAGTCAGGTCCAAGATTGCCGGGAAGTTGTACTGTGGGGTTTGTGTGGTTTTTTGTTCTATTTTTCATCGCTATAGAATAACTGTTATTGTCTTTAAAGCTCTTTGAGTACTTTGTAAAATAAATGTTGATGCCGGCTGTCTATAGGTGGTCCTAAAACCAGTAAATAATCTCTAAAATACCCAAAATGCCTATTTTAAAGACGGAATTTATAATGTTGTTATACATTATAATTATGTTGCGATTGGGCAATTATGTACATTTCCAGTAATCATGTGATTAGCTATAATTACATTAGCTATGTAAATATATAATAGTCAACTAGACAGGACTTAAAATGCCATGGGATAAATTAATGTACTACAACTGTGTTGTTGGTTGCTGTCGAATTGATTCCAGCTCATGGGATCATGAAGTGTTGTGCAGAATAGAATTGCTCCGTAGGGTTTTCAAGGTTGTGACCACTCCTGACTACCGAGGTGCTTTCTGGCTGGGTTCAAACCACTAGCCTTTCATCTGGTAGTGGACAGTGAACTGTGCGTGCCACACAGACTCCCACAAAGGACCAGTAGAGTTTACTCTTTCTACACAGAAATGAAGAGTGTGGCGCTGTGGGCTAATGGGCTCTGGACTGCAAAGTCGTTTGAACTGCAAGGTCCGCAGTTCAAGCTCACCAGCTGCTCCTCGGAAACCCTATACAGAGTCACTGTATAGGGAAGGAGGATCAGGGCACCCTTTCCTTCCTTTTCAAACGGGCTCATCTGATGGATCGTGGTTGTGCCATTAATTCCCTGGAGCATCTTTAATGATCTGTCTGTTTTGATTCTGTTTCCTTGTCGCTTTGCTGTGAAGTTAAAGAGGACAGGTCAGAACCCACTCGACAGCCCTGAACAATAACAGACAGAAATGAAGTTATGTACAAGGGGTCAGATTCTGAATATTGCTTCATCTGGTCATGGGTTTAAGATAAATTCGGAGAACGATCCCTCTCCTGGCATCTAGGGTTCATGTAATTACCCACATGCTGTCAGCCCCCCGTCCCCCCATGAGAACCAGGTTAAATGTTTGGTTTGGTTTTAAATGTTCATTTTGTAAAATGCAGAATTAAGCTTTTCTTTACATTTTTAAGATTTGCTGATGAAATCTTTGCTGAGGCTTACATCTTAACCATGTGACTAAACGCTAGGTGTTAGGCAGCTTGGTCTCTGTGTCGAGGTTGGGTGGTTGGTGTACTGGGAGTCCGTAGTAAGTAGGTCTTGAGTGGTTCATCAGGTCTTCTGATTTGTTGGGTGGCTGCTCCTTCCAGCTCTTCCCCCCCCCACACACACACACTGAACTTTGCTCTCATGCAATGGTTGGTGGCACCTGGCCTGGGTCAATGATTGACATCATAATGCTGAGTTTTGAAGTGGAGCCACCTGCCTTCCCAGAATGCTTTTTTCCTTGGTCTGTTTCCTCTCAGACACTGTGCCTTGGAGGGAAACATTTCTGTTAGCAGACTTAATCAAAATCCCTAAGAGTCAGAGTTACAATGCACATAGGCAAACTAAGTTCCCATGGTTAGACTGGAACCAAGAGATGCACAATCGTTCTACACACAAAATGGGAGCGTGTCTGAACACAGCCCGGTGTAATCGATGAGTATTTGTGGGAGACTCTGAGGCCAGAACCTCCGGATACACAACCACTATCAGTTTTACACAGTGGCTGAGACCCCTGTTTCACCAAACCCTTCTTCCCCAATGACCTTGTCATTGATGGACTCTTGCTGGTTG